CATTTGTCTGCATGCCTGGGTTGCCTGGAGGTGAGGTGAGGTGAATTTGGGTTTTACGTCGTGCTTGAGAATATTTCGCTCATATGACGACGTGCATGGGTGTGTGTGTGTATTAGCGGCTGCTTGTACTAACCCAGACTTAAGCTAGTTTTATAGTGCTAACCCACTGAGATACCATGCCGCAGTGGAGCATGAATACCCCACTCAGACTCATTATACTGACTCCGAGCCGACCAGTCCTTGTTGTACCCATTAATGCCGAGCGCCAAACAGGGACCAACAAGTACCATATTTTAACGTCTTTTGGTATGACGCGGTCGGGGATCGAACCCGCGACCTTCCGCTCTCCGGGCGGACGCTCAAACCACTACACCACGGAGGCGGTCGGGTTGCCTGGAAGGTAAATGTGCATGTGGCGGCTCCGAGCGCTGATGATCATGCACATGCAAGTGAGTGTATGTTCTAAAAAACGGCATATTGAAACGTCGACACTATTTTCCCCTACGTTGTCCCATGCAGAGAGAAATTCCAATGAATGAATGGATTTGTAATATATTACAGCTGTACCCTATTTCCGCCTACACATTGAAAGTTTTTACAATCCGGAAACAACATGACACCAGACTTGATAAAACCTACACGGCGCTAATTACCCATGAATGGCCGAACGTCGGCTACTATGAAACTGTAGATTCCGTTTCCCTCCTTGACTAATACGATCCGCTGAGAAGACTTGTGCTCTGCCCTCCGTCCCGTGTGACACCACCCTACTAAGCAGTGCTGATGCTCCGTTTTCCTTTCAGAGAGGTGAAGTACAACACTCAGGTGTGAAACCCACACAATATGAGGTGACACTTCAGTGCTGACCACAACACGGGGACACCAAACACGCTCACCTGACTTAATAATGTCATGGGATAGAGGAGGTCAGCGTTCGTTCCACTTCGTTGTTCAATACATTTACCACCCGTTATCAGATTATGACAGCTTAATCAACTGGCAACGTGTTAATGCGTATTAGAATCATCCACGTGGATATATACAGTGTTTAATCATAAGCCTATATGATATGTTAGTAAACAGTTAAACAGCCATGCCCTATGTGTTGAAGCTGATGGACACGGGGTGGGAGCTTGTATAATTAACTAACATTTATGGGGACAAAAGATCATATTGATAACAGCCTGTTTATATACAAAACTATTCAGGGTTACTTTATGCCCATATCTTTCTTTGCTACATGTATCCATGCATTAAGCATGTTAAAGATACGCCGTACATGTGTTTTTCAAGGGAACTGATATATACAGCATGACACATACGTGTCTACACGTGTGACCAATTCTCTCTGTATATTACATGCCACATATCGATCAACTGTGTCACATGCTCGGAATATTTCACATTCCTACAACAGGAGTGATTATAGGCCTCCGGTTCGGTGGACATCTCACCTGCCACCAGAGTACCACAAGGTTTCTCTCTCTCTGTGTGTCTCTCTGTGTGTGTGTGTGTGTGTGTGTGTGTGTCTCTCTCTCTCTCAGACACACACACACTACATATGATACAAGTTGACACATTAAAACATAAATAGGTCATAAACATTACAGTTGATGGGCGTTATGCATGGTAGGTCCAAATCTGTTTTTGCATTAAATGAATACGATGAATCATAATTTATACTTCCGCGTATAGTTATAGAATTGTATGGATTAATAATGTCATTTACCCATCATCACCCAAACAATCCTGTTTCCGCCTTAGTCAAGCTTACATCAGTGTAATTTACTGACTCTTCGGGAAACATTTATTTAAGAGAACACACCAACGCCGTGGCGATTACAAATGTGCGTCTCTCGTTATCAGAGGGGTTTCAGCAAGTCTATCGGGGCGAGTCGCCACAGATGCCGCACACAAGGGGGAAGTCTCAATGAGATCAACTATTCCCGAGCACAGGAAACTCACAGAATGTGATTACGCTTACCCGCCCTCCACTTACGATTTCTCATGACTTTACACACACGAGGGAATCATTATTATGATGTCACAATCATATCGGCGCCTTTCATACATAATTACACAGTCGATAATAATAAATTGATTGCAACAATGTATTTATCTGGTACTCGAGTCGTCATGATCAGTGGGCGTTGGGCATTGTGCGCTTTAATGATCTCCCTGGCAACAAAACATGTATATGATAAGGTCTGCGCGCGGCTTTATTAAGATTACGTCCATAAATGGACATCGAGACGACATTCGTAATAGGGGAACATTTGATTAAATATTATGAGTACGCCTCGTGGCGTTGAAATACATAAATTTATGGCGATATGTTTCGCTTCAAAGGCGTGAATACAATATCAGGGTTCGGTTCATAAGTATTTTTTCCATTTAAACTATGATATTTGCCAAATAGTTAAACATTGACTATTACAATTATGTTCATAATATAGGTTTATAATCACATATTATGCTTAGTAAATCAAATGATACACAGTCAGGTACATAATAAAGATTCCCGAAAACGCACAGATAATCTGTATACATCGTGCTGGTGCTACACGCATACAACTACATTTCATAGTCTCATACATGTGAGAAAATGCACAGTAAACTATTATCCAGAATATACTGTGCCAATACTTAGATGATATTATAACTGGATAATCGGTCCAGTGACACCCCGTCAGTTTGTTCCCAGTAACATTATCATCCGGATATATAAGTGTCCATATTAGGGAATCACAGGAACGGCGTAGTGCCATTTTCATTATGTTCTGTAGAAGTTACAGGCAATAATCGCTCGGAAGGCTACGTTTCCTGAATAAAGGAGTCTAGTCTAACGGGGTTTCCCTGTACAATACATGTAAACCCATTCTACGAAAGACCATAGACTGACCCTACCTATAAACGCGACAGACAAATGACGTTAGATATTTATAGCTGAATGCACGGCTGCACCTATGTAGGTGAGCGTGATGAGTGTAAACATACTAGATGCAGTGTATATCCATTGTTACACAGGCCCATCCTCACACTGATCCCCTAAATGCACAGAAACTACATGCAACCAACGTTGATCATTTAACTGCTCCAACGCACCTGCAGAAACAACAACTCATCTAGTACAGGCGAGTAACTTGTATGTCCGATTACTAGGCGTTTTCAATAACCGATCACAAACTCATCTGTATGCTAAAGCCTGGTAGGCGGTGACATTGTTAAGTTCTTCTCTAGGTATATGCAAACCAGTATCGAACTCATGAAACTGAGGTAGTCACATCCCCACTGAGCTATTTAATACAAATGCGTTGTAAAAATACGTGCTTTACTGCACAGACACATAGTTTCTAGAGGACAGAGAAAGAGAGCACTAATCTGGGTAAATGGTCCATATATGTAAGTTTGTAAAGTTACCTATCCTGTGTATAGTGTATATTGCGTTCGAATTCTCTGGTGTCCTCTAATTAAAGTGAGTGAGTATGGGTTTACGCCGCTTTTAGCAATATTCCAGCAATATCACGGCGGGGGACACCAGAAATCGGCTTTACACATTGTACCAATGTGGAGAATAAAACGCATTTCTTCGAGTGAACGCTTTAACCACTACTCTACCCTACCGCCCTCTAATTTAGAGACATTTAATCTTCACATGTATTTTGTACAACAGTATACCATTCCAGCACAAACTGAAGTTTGAGTATGTAGCAATAAACAAGGTATGAGATGTATCTAGTTTATATACACCTGCATATTCTTTGACATGCTGCCAAGCCTTTCTATTCTGTAACTTTCCACGCATTACCGTCGCTAATACCACTGATAAGATATGGAACAAGAATTTTAAAAATCAAAACCGGTTTGCTTACTTTTAAATTTGATATACGTCAAAGCCTAAAAGTGTTCTTTTATCACGTGAGGTACGCTACTGCATACATAGAATATTTCAGGACAAAGGACAAAACAACACAAACATGCATAATAACATGTAATATACCCTGTGAATAAGAAGCAAAAACATTTTTTCATCTCGTATTTCAAATTTCCTAATAATGCTGTCATACAAAATGCGCCACATTTGAAAACCACCTGTCGTGCTAGGCGGAACAAAACGGCTCGCCCTCTTCGTCCGGCGCCAGTGGCAAATGCAGCTCAACAATATATGAAACAATAACCATACTCTCAAACACACTGGCCTTTTGTCAACATGGCGTAACAGCCTATAGATGAACCATACAATACACAGTACGACAATGAAATGTTACTTTTGTTTTATAGGATGAGCTATAGGCATTAAGAGCAGCTAACGCTGTGTTAGGAAGTTCGACTATGCTTTTTCACGTAGATCTAAAGCAGATTTCGGTAGTGATGATACAAGGTTACATTGAGGGCTGCACTGGTAATCAAGTAAATGTGTAACGCCACACAACATAGTTATCTTTTAAGATAACGTCTTGTCATAGGTCACAGAGAAACCAATTTATGCCCTGTTTCTCCTACACGTTGCTCGTATTTCCCTACAGCGCATTCAAGTCACGACATCCAATTATCAAATGTGTATGGCGACAACAGAAAGCCTCATGTTTAGTATATGCATTGTGTATGCATGATTGAGCGATACGAAATGAATTTCTGTTGATTACATACGATATTAATTTTACAAATATTTGATAATATCTGATGCTTAAAAGTACATGTGAGCTCGTCACTAACAACATATCGAGGACAGTAATCTTTTGGACATCACACTGCACAGATAATATATGTTATCTTGAGGTTATACTTTAAAAGGTCAAGTACACGCCTTGTTAAATGTCACTTTAATAACAGGATACTTTGAAACGCTCCTTCATGACAAGTTAAATGACTGGGTTTAACCTCCTCAAAAAATTCAACACAGCACTCTCTCTGGAGTCAGCCTGGGATATTTCACGCTGGTGTGAGCACATATTCTATTGAACACATACAAAAATCGAGAATAATAGAAAGTGACTCACGGAATTTTTCGGATGGCCATCTCAATATGCGCTCAGGTAACTCAGGTTAAAAATGTCGTCTGCTACTGGCGGTGACCAGGTGAAATATCAATCCACAGCTATATCACTAGAATTGTGACTGTCGCTAACTCTCTTCACGTGAGGTAGTTCTGTTCACTTGTTGTATAGCCCTACCAGCTGACTGAGTCCGACTCCACGCTTCCTCACTCCCTTAGTTCAAATGTTCATCTTCTGTTGAACACCGTCTATATCACAGGACACACCTAATTTACATTTCTACTGGTGACTCACATGCGCAGGCTCCCGCGCAGCATGAATAACTAATGTCAGTATTCAAACCTTACGAATCGTCAACTTCAAATTATCGCCTCTCTTTTCAACGTAAAAAGTCATTGACACGGGGTAATAATCTCGAAAAAATAGCAATCAAGGTGTTAACTCATCACATGAGAGAAAACAGTTCACGTGAATTAAAACTCTCTCTAACTATTCGGTTTTAAGACAGATAAAGGGAAGTAACTGCAGTATGGCATTGTATTTACAAAGCATTGGGAAGGTTCCGTGCGACTTTCAATAAGTCATTCTTTTGAGTATAAAGTAGGGGTATATTCGACAACCCTACACCCATAAACAGATTAATACTCTATTCACGAATCCGAAAATAGGTATGTTGTGTGGGGGCACATGCATTTAACCAGGGACGTTACTCATAGTAAACTTTAACCCCAGCTTTTCCAACACTTCAACATACGATAAACTGCATGTCATATCAGTTTCCGGATTGTTTACATTGTTTAAAATCGAAAGAAATTTATCTGAATTGCCCCCGATACTAAGTTATTTGGAATGTCAAACACGCGTTAAGGAATTTCATTACATGTGTGGGTTTACACGCCAGAACAAACACTACAATCATTATTGTAATAACACTTTTGATACCAGGAAACATGTAATGCATGTGACAGCATTAGTTCGTTCAAACACATTTTGACTAAAACACACAGCAAATGCCCAGGAATAAATAACCACTTCGTTATATCCTTGTTCGTTATAAACGTAGTCTACTGCGATAATAATTTCAGTAATTTCATAGCAACTTTAACATTATTCACCTGTATGCTCCTCTCTCTATTAGGGGTGGGTATTGCAGAGAATTTTCATATTGCGATATATTGCGATGCGAAAGCATGTATTGCGATATGTATTGCAATATATTGCATGAACTATTTTTAAACAAAAACTACTTATAATCGAGTTGATGCTTGATTTATAGAGCAAAAACACAACAAAATCACTAGGCTGGATTAAGCTGTAATAACAACTTTTAATCATGATAAAATAAAACGTGAATAATATTTGGCACAAATGAAACAAGGACATATCCGAACATTTCCGAGTGTTACGAAGTTTTCCGAATGCAAGTCGAAATACCGGTTTTCGATCAGCGTATCGCAATACGTATCGTTTTCATGTCTGAACCGGTAAATACCGGTAAACCGGTTAAATTGCGCAGCCCTACTCTCTATACTCGTTCTTTTGCACAGTATGCGAGTATTGATTCACTGCTACAGCTACAGATAGCCTGCCACGGGAACACTGGGCTGTAGGGAACTGACCGGGACTTTGACGAAACGAACATACAACTTAGCGACCCCGTACTGAAATGTATGTATAATATGTGTTTCCAACCGGTGACAATATCTCATTTAGAATGTTTCATTATATCTGTAAATGTATTGTCGATTCATGTATTCATACAACTAAATGTCCTGGCAAAACAAAATACTGGTGTACTATAAACAAAATCGTTACGCTCCACTCAACTGCATATTGCCACCATGTACTGCCACAGATGTCAGATAATTCTTTCGCCAACAGCGGGAATGTTTCATTATCTATATCATTCTATGCGGTATCAAACATAATGAATTCCTGTTTAGCATGACGTCTTCTTTAAAAAAGCATTTGTACCGTAGACACAAGTTATGTTAAATGCTTTTAGACCAGTTGTTAATCATCGACAATACTTCACGACAACGAGTGAGTGAGTGAGTGCGTGAGTTACTGAGTCCGTTTTTCCTAATATTCTCAGCAATATCACTATGGCGAAAGGGGTACCCGTACTGAGAATCAAACCCTGGCCTTCCGCACGACGAGCCAACGCTTTAACCACAAGACTACCCCATCAGCCCCGGTCATGCGTGTCTGTTTCAGTCAGAAATGAGGCCGTTGTAATGGTATGGCGTGCATATTGAAGTCAAACTTTGTGTGAACCCTATCATTGCTTGACACTGAAGCGATGTGTAGAGCAGTTATCACAAAGCTATGGGACATAGTGCACAGCCTGTTAAGTGGGATACATCGATGTGTGCGATGCATGTGAACGCCGGGTTTTTCTCACAGTCTCTCATCCATAATATTTTCCGTCCACCCAGTCCACTTGTAATGCAAAAAGCCCTTACAAAAATATTGGTCCTGCATGATTTTCCTCTGGCATGAAAGAATACATGATTCGTTGGTTACAACTTGTGCCTACCCACAAACATAAGTGCTTTGTCACGGGTTATGGAGGTACGTGATGCATACATACATACCCGTGAAACACTGATGATGGTTCTTTCATAATGTTTCCTTTGGGTTGGGGTTTTAAAACAATGTTTTAATTGTTTTTTCTCGATGTAACACGTTTTTCCTAGTTTGGCCTTTTCCCCAGGATTTACGATCTTCAAAATTGCCCTTTATATTATGTGATACGGTACTTACATGTATATACGTGCGGTAATTGCGTTTACACTTTAAACCTTTACCGTACAGCAGCTGTGCTGTCTGCTTTTTACCGCAAATATATAGCATACTATTCAAACACGTGAACCCTATAACTGCATGCACATACCATATGTTTTAATGGTAAAAATCCACGAGATGTCACAGTGCCCTAGCCATGCAGTTGTGCCCCAATAATACGATGCTTTGTCAAATAAACATGTCACTTATCAGTCGTTTACTACAAGCAGCCAGTATGAAGCTCATGTGAAACAGTTTGTTTTCAAAAAAACTGAAAGTGCACATGTACTGCTAGACTTGCACAAGTCTCTAAGGTAAGAATTAATAGTTTAAATGATAATTTCAACAACAAAAATATCCCTCTAACAGACTGGCACTGTACGCATATATAGACTTGCCTCTTAAAAGGATAGAATTACTGTGCATCCAAGGACTAAGCCTTCAGTACAGCCATGAACAAGGCTAATGTACAGCTTGCAGAGCAATTAAAAACATTTGAGTTTATACTTGACAATACGTGTATAAGTGGTGAAATTACACATTTAATGTGTTAAACTCAATATTCACCTGCAAATACCCGCATATGACCGACTCTGGCATCTAGATGAACGAAGGTGCACATACATTTCAATGGACAGATTGATCCATGTCCCAAACTTAGGAATGGAACGTGCGAAAACAGCTACCTTAATGACCGTACTGAATACAGATTACGTGTTACTGAGCCCTATCAGTTCCAGTGCCTGTAATGATTTCTCCCTGCTCCTTCTTCGACTAAATATATCTCAAATAAAGGCCGCAATCATCTAGGATGATGCCTCCGTGCATCTGCATGTTGACAGTGAAGATTTTATAAAAACACTAAAAACCTAACTACTGTTTACAGTACTCTACGGTATAGTCATATTGCACCAATCACTGTGAACAGATTATAGTGAACTACTGTATATATTATGGTAAAGGATGATAGTGTAGGCGTGTACAGTAACATACTGCTATAGTCCACATGCTGCATATCATGTTGGCTTGATAGTGTTACTTTCATGATTATCTTCAAGTGAATGTGAAGAAAACTAAGGAACTAAGAACACCAAGTTGCCAGTTATAATTAAAAAGGAACCTGTTGAAACCGTTAATGAATACAAGTATCTTGGTACATATATTGGTAACAAACTGAATTTTAATGTAATTACAGATGCTATATTCAAGAAGTGGCGACAAAGGTTACACTTCTTGCGCAAATTGAGATCTTTCAATTTTAATCAATCACTTATGTGTCTTTTTCAGTGCTTTTTACAGAGCGTTCTGGCTTTTTCTGTACAATGCTGGTATGGAACCTTGTCCCTTAAAAACAGAAACTGTCTCACCAGAATAGTTTTATAAGCAAGTAAAATTGCAGGCGTATCTTTTGCTAACCTAAATGAAATATATGAAGAAAGAGTTCTCAAGTCAGCCATCTGATCCAGATCATCCCATCTACTATAGGTATGAATTACTGCCTTCTGGGCGCCGTTATAATTTACCCCGTTTTAAATCCAATCGTGCCATGAAATCCTTTGTTCCTGCAAGTATTAATCTTTTAAATGATTCCTAGTGTTTGTCTTACCTTGTTAGCGTGTTATATGTGTGTTATTTATTGTATGACAATAATTTAATCATTTTATCAATGTTTGAGCTTTATACTTTACACAAGAATTCCTCACGGGTAATAAAGTATTGTCACTGCCATTGTCATTCTTAAGTATTCACATTTAAAACGATTTATTGACCCTGACAAAAGAAACTTGTAGTAACACAATATAACATTCTGACATTCTGCTTGATGAGAAAATATGATCTTTTTCGTGTTTATCAACTAGCTGCATTTTACAGCTTGTTATCAAACTTTGGGCAAACGTAAAATGCGTAAAGGTGATACTGTGGCTATCATATCTTTTAGAATATGAAATTGCTGGTTAATGTTCGCATGAAACATAGTTAGGGTTGGCGCTGCAGGCGACACAGGTTGATCACACGACACAGGTGTGGACGACCCATGTGTGTTCACCGATGGCCAACATTGATTGATCGGCGCTTGTCCCTGGTACTTGAAATGAGCCTGTCATAACGACACGAGCACTAAAGATAAAAATAAACCTATCATATAAAATGTTGGTGGTTTTGTTTTTAGATGTACACGCACATCTTGGCATAAACACAGATTGATTTAATTAATCAGTTACAATTAATTTCTTGTTATGTGACAGCGATCTAAGTCTACCTAAAATAGCAATTTGTTTGAAAGTGTACTCGTACCAACCATATGCACCAACGCATAATAGGTATACTAAGTATAATGGGTATAATCTGACCTATAAAAGCTCATTTCTGTTGTCTCCGAGCGTGATACTGTTGGAATACTGCTAAAACTGACACCCACTTATTAAACTATCAACACGTATATGTCGACAGCTGAAATAGCTCATACTGATGACGAAGAAATACGTTGAGTTTAAACTTCTTTAATTGGCTATACAATACACGATAAACAAATAAACAAAGACAGCGATGAGAGGATTTTCCTGTTCATACATAAATGAGGTGAGCGGAGTTCCAGCTCAACCTCAAGGCGTTTCCTTCGTGGTCGTCCCTACACAGGCAGTCGGAATTTGCAATAGAGTCACACATGTCTTGGCTACATAGGTTTTGGTATTTGGAAATATTTGGGCAATGGCTGACCTGCATGACAAATATACAGTTCACTTAACTGAGGTTTAACATAGTCATATCAGTTGATGTACTTTCTCCTGTGTTTGTGTAACCTGGTAAAAGTGTATCTCCATAAAACTATTTCACCATTGTTGACAACGCCGTGTGTGTTGTGTGTATCGTGTGTATCGTGTGTCAGCTGGCTTTATTCCGATCTTCCTGATTTATACTCCACTGTTATCTTTAGACCATCCTTCCGATCTGATGTCATTCACACGTGTGTGTTAAATATACTTGAACAGGGATCCTGTATGCAATTGACAAGACATGCCTACGGCGATGTCTTCATTATACAAGAGACATTTCTGAATAAGAATCGAATGGTGATGGAGGTGTGCGTGAACAAGGGTGTAAAAAACACAAACAGGTAAGACTATCGATACCGAAACGTCGTTAGTATCGAAACTCTCTTTTCCAGACATACCGTTGTACTCAAAACACAAATTGTTCAAGATTCATAAACCAGGAACATGGTTAGCCCGGAATTTCACGGTACGGTCTGGATTGATGAGGTGTAACTGTTATCATGTGTTACGAGTAATGATCTCTAGACACTGTAATAAACTAAAACAAGCAAAGAAGTAAAGTATGACAATGACAATGACAATACTTTATTACCCGTGAGGGAATTCTTGTGTAAAGTACAGAGCTCAAACATTGATAAAATGGTTAAATTATTTTCATACAATAAATAACACACATATAACACGCTAACAAGGTAAGACAAACACTAGGAATCATTTAAAAGATTAATACTGGCGGGAACAAAGGATTTCATGGCATGATTGGTAGATTAGTAGATAGAGTACAGGTAACCCATATCACGTTACCTGTACTGCCAGATAAATTTTACTGGCAGCACCACCGACATCATTAATACAACCAAATCTTTAGTCGTTGTTAAGTATAAACATTTTGATAGAGACTTCAAAACTGATATTGAGGACAGGGTCAGTTAACTGAAAAAGAATAGCAGTAACATCACCAATGTTTCTAAGGACTTGTACACCTCTAAACGTGAAATAGGAAATGTGTGCGCAGGTCTAGCAAACAATACGGCACCAGGAATCGACGGAATAATCTATGAACATCTCAAATATGGCGGATCGAACCTGCATACATGCCTAGCTAATATATTTAATAGTATCATAGACTCTGGCATAATACCATGTTCCTGGAAACATGGAGTTGTAGTACCTATCTACAAGGGAGGTGGGAACCAAAGACTTCACCGGACTCATACAGGGGTGTGTCACTCTTACCAGTAATCTTCAAATTATTTGAAACCATTATAGACAGGAGAATACAACAGTTTCAAGGCTACAGAACATTTCCAAATACACATCAATGCGGATTTTATAAAAGGTCTGTCCTCAACTCATTCTTCATTTTGTATCCAAGAGGCAGCTGTTCACTACATAGAGCAGGTGATTCACTGAAAGCTGTGATGCTGGACAGCACAAAGGCCTTTGATACGGTTTGGCATAGCGGGCTGCTATGGAAACTGCATGAAATAAAGATTCAAGAACCTATTTGGAGGATAATATCTAACTGTTATGAAGGGATGAAGAGCTGTGTGCTAGTGAATGGTAAGAAATCCTACTGGTTTAATCTAGAGAGAGGTGTCCGGCAGGGCGGAGTTTTATCAGCAAAACTCTATTTAGTGTTCATCAACGACTTGCTTCGAAAGCTTACATCATCTCATAAGGGGGCTATGGTCTTGGACGTACATGTTTCTGCCCCAACACAAGCAGACGATATCACACTGTTGAGTCCTCTGACAGCTAACCTGCAAGCTATGACAGACATGTGTGTTCAATACAGTAGCATGTGGCGCTTCATGTTTCGGCATCAAAGTGTACTGTGATGTCATTTGGTAGAAGGGAGGCAGCCCCAGTGTAAATATCTCTGTACGGATCCAATATCCCTAATGTGACTGAAACCAAATATCTTGGCATTGAGTTGAACAGTAAATCAAATTCTTGGAACAGAACCGTAAAGACCTGCTCAAAGCTAAAATCAACCTCAATGGCATTAATTAAACATAGATTCCATTCACACGCCCTAAATCCACTAACCAGCTTAAAACTCTTCCAGTCCATATGTTTACCCAAATCCCTATACGGTTGTGAGCTTTGGTCTTGTCTGAGTAAGGGTGAGATCCTAGCAATCGAGCGTGCACAGAGATTCGCGATGAAGCTGGCACAAGGACTTCCCAGATGCACAAGGACTGACATTTGCAACGCTCTCCTTGGTGTCCTTCCTGTAGGAGCATATATCGACAAACTTCTTTTCTTTGGGAGACTTTGTCGTACAAAAAGGCAGAATAAATCATCTCAGTTATTTCTCGGTTGCATACCCTCAGATATAATGTAGCGTCGGGCTTCATACCTACTCGTCGACTTGTACATAGATATGAGTTGCAAGAACATTACCATTCCTTTTAGCAACAGGAGTATTCATGACGTACATGTCCTGGAAGAAGAAGGTTAAAGCCACTATTAAGCAGCACGAAGAGAGGCAGTGGGTGACCAGAATGGATGAAGATCCCGACCTGGAGCACTTACAACTGATTCACCCCCATATCCAACCTCACATAGCCTGGTTGGTAGACAAGAGTTATCCTTCCTTGAAACCCTTGTGCAGAGTGGTCGTCCAGCTGCGTGCGTGTTGGAGACCTGGCAAAGTCAAGGGACAATGTAAACTGTGCCATGAGGACTACTGTGGTCTTCTGGTGCACACTGTGTGCTCCTACCCTGTGACATCTGACATTAGAGCGAGTCTCTGGTGCGACATCATCAACTGCAGTCCAATTGAAGTCATTGTCTGCCTTCGCAACCAGTGTGACATTGGACTGGTATCCATGCTGCTATCCTGTAGACCTCCGTTACAGCTAAGTGATGACGAGACATTGCAATATGCCAAAACCATCATAACTCACATTGCGTCCTTCAACAAACGCCTGGAACTGTGATGGATCTGTGTGACAGTCAAACTAATTTTTCTTTTAAAAAATATGAATAAAATAAAAATACTAAAAAAAATGACCAAAAATAATAAAATGTATGTATGTATAATGTTATTTAATGTATATGCATCTCATTGTACTCTCCTTTGGAGGAATAAAAGCTTATATATATGGCACAGAGATGGGGGGTTATTACTGTATTACAGTCATCACGTTGCCGGGGAATTCAATCCTGTAATGAGAGCACGCGTGAACTTTGTAACAGCCGTCAGCCAATTTTCAGTCGTTGTCAACCTGCCAAACATTACAAACACCGACATTCATAGTCCAGTCAACCGAATTTTCCAGATAGTTCAGTAAAACATATTAGAAAATACACTGTAGTTAGTATTTCGATGATAATATTGTATACATATAATATTATCACAAATATGATACCGTGAACGTCAAAGGGATTCAGTTGATCTGTACCACGGAAGCCTGACAGTTCCGACAATAGGATTTTACAGGCGCTTTTAAAACATATGTATATTTAATGTCTCCTCATATACTAGTATATTAATATCTATTTTCATAGAATAGTTCATAATGACAGCCCGGATGTTATTTCTGCGACTGACATAAATGGTGATACTTTATTTAAAACTCGAAGAGTGTTTCGTGACAATATGAGTTATTATAGTACCTTAGTCAGAGGATTTATTGACTCAAATAGCTGTGACAGTTGATGACTAAACCTTCACCCAGACTTTCACAACGTGTTTCCAGTCGAACTCTACTCATGTTTAGAATGTATGATACCAGTCTGTCTACAATTTCATTGTACACGTTCTCCCAAACAATAACTTGATGTCACAAGACGTAAGAAAAAGTATTTTGCAAGGTAAGCAGAGTGTTCTCCCTTTACACTTCAACCTCAGCCCAAGGCAGCAATAAATTTTGTTATCAATATATATTTACTTAAGTCCCACTTACAGCGTTCTTCTGTCTAAATAGTGAGGTGTACATATGTGAATTAGATTTATCAGTCTTAACTGAAAATATAAATTATAAAAATTATACAAAATATAAATTGAAATTAATATATAAATCTGTACGTTGCGAAATGATGTCTACGTACGTCAGTAAAGTTCTACCGTAAAACAATGCCCAAACTTAACCCCACCCGAAATGGTGGAGATTTCACAAATCCAGTATTTGATTTAAAACAGACAATACATATATAATTAAAATCAAATCTTATGTAGTATTAGGGCGATGTATACCAGTTTGATATTACCAGGCTATTTTATTTTAATCCTTTTGGAAAGTCAATTTATTTGTCAACATGTTTTCATGTTTATATATTAGCACAACCTGTAATACACTGTTCAAAGTCCCTACCACCACATAAAGCATAGACTTCAGAGAAAAGTGCATGTTAAAAATTCTTAATCCACGGGTTAGTTTTAGTTAAAGTAGATTAGTGCAGTGTTACATTTAAGTGTGAACTCAAGTGCCATAAAAGTACATTTTGATGACCGAATATGTATAAATGTATAAATAACACTCCATGTTGCCCGGATTTTACGTGTCTCTATAAATAGATATCGGAAATACCTCTGTACCTGGAAACGAGTGGATGTTCTTCGTAGCCTAACGAGTGGGATTTCCAATATGCGCAGACAACAATTTAAATGAATGCTCAGATGTTGGATGGCACTGGTCAGCTCTCGCTCTACTTACACTGGTACTGTTTCTATGGTGGTATGTATCCATTCTCAAGCATTTGTACACCCGCAAATAGCCCTCTTCAAATTATACAAGAACGATACTCACTTGAAAACATTTTGCTGTAGTTTCATAGCTTGTAGATAATATGCAAAACCTGTTACTGCAATTGTCCCATGTATTTACAGTTGTGTGCGTGTTTGAATAATATATAAGACTACGGTATGTGTGTAATTTATACAGTATATGAGACCGCCTCTGTGGTGTAGTGGGTAGTGAGACCGCCTCTGTGGTGTAGTGGTTAGTGAGAGCGCCTCTGTGGTGTAGTGGGTAGTGAGACCGCCTCTGTGGTGTAGTGGGTAGTGAGAGTGGGTAGTGAGACCGCCTCCTGGTGCAGTGGGTAGTGAGACCGCCTCTGTGGTGCAGTGGGTAGCGAGACCGAGTGGGTAGTGAGACCGCCCTGTGGTGCAGTGGTTAGTGAGACCGCCTCTGTGGTGCAGTGGGTAGCGAGACCGCCCTGTGGTGTAGTGGTAGCGAGCTGTGGTGTAGTGGGAGTGAGACCGCCTCTGTGGTGTAGTGGGTAGTGAGACCGCCTCTGTGGTGTAGTGGGTAGCGAGACCGCCTCTGTGGTGCAGTGGGTAGCGAGACCGCCTCTGGTGGTGTAGTGGGCAGTGAGTAGCCGCCGCCTCTGTGGCAGTGTAGTGAGGCCTCTGTGGTGTAGTGGGTAGCGAGACCGCCTCTGTGGTGCAGTGGGTAGTGAGACCGCCTCTGTGGTGTAGTGGGTAGTGAGACCGCCTCTGTGGTGCAGTGGGTAGCGAGACCGCCTCTGTGGTGCAGTGGGTAGTGAGACCGCCTCTGTGGTGTGGGTGCAGTGTGCAGTGGGTGAGTGAGACCGCCGTGTAGTGGATAGTGAGACCGCCTCTGTGGTGTAGTGGATAGTGGTGTAGTGAGACCGCCTCTGTGGTGTAGTGGATAGTGAGACCGCCTCTGTGGTGTAGTGGATAGTGAGACCGCCTCTGTGGTGTAGTGGATAGTGAGACCGTCTCTGGTGTAAGGGATACAGCCTCTGCCGGATGGTCGGTGCTGGTTATGCCAAATGTTCCGTGGTGTTTTTGCTGCAAGGACTGGCATTAACGGGGACAACAAGGACTGATCGGTGTCAGTATAAGGTGTGTGAGTGAGGTATTCATGTTACAATTGTGGAATGATCCATCAGTGATCTAGGACTATGGCACCTTCGTTTGGCAGACTATTTGTCGCTATTGAACTCTAATTTTCAAATTCGGGACATTAAACCCGATTCACCTCACCTTAGTCTCTCATACAGACCCTGAAGCAAATATATCCAAGAAATCCCATGCAAGTCCAGAAAATGTGGCAAGTCTAGATCTGAAAATGAAGAAAGTCTCAGGGCTCCTTTTCATTATATTTTATTATTTTTTCACTTTGAAGCTTTTTCTGTAAAATATATTCACTTCAGAGACCAGTTGTTAGTCTAACCTCACCTCTGATATAGTGAGAAGTATCTCCGTTGCTAGCCATGCTTGCTGGAGTGATCCAGAACTATACCAGGTAATAATATTCATACGTATCACTGGGGTTAGGTCGGATTGATTGTTTAATCGGATTAACGTCAAGCGATCAGCTATTACATGAAAGGATTTGAACTGCAGACGGATTTACCACGAGGGAGCCATCTATTTCTGAAACAACACTAAAAAGTTATCTGAAGCTTTCAGCACACACAGATGGATATTGTTAGGTTACAGTTGACATCTGTAATTCGTTTAGCATTTTATAGCAATATGGAAACAATGCAGATATGTTTTTATCTGGTGCCACTCGTTCCTTTCCGTAACCTGCTTGTCCTGGCATGCTACTAGAGGCTACGATAACATGCTCTATATTCTCCAGTCACTTTAAGGACATGGAACCTTTGGCCAAGGTGTATTTGGGACAGTGAAATATATGAAGTGCGATCTTTGGGTTACAGTTACATATGTTGTGTATATGACGTCTATTTATGAAAATTATTAACTATAGTTTTAAGGCTTTCAAAAGGTTTATCCACAACGATGAGATGGCCATTATTGTTTTCCCACTTAATGCAAGAAAACGGAATCTATTTCACGAATGTTTCAGTGACTAATGTTAGTGAACGACTGCGGTTTTACGCCGAGTTTAAATAGCAATATTACAGCAGTATCAAGGTGGCACCAGAAATTGGCTCCAGACATTGCATGTACACATTACAAACAAAGACAGGTGTTCGCCTTCACGAACAGGAGCCTGGAGGCCACTGTCTTACTATTGAGGACATAATGAGAAGAGTTTACTTTCATGAAATGCTGAACAGCCACCTTTTGTAAATATACATAAACAACAAACATTTTACAAGAGCATATTGTCATTTTATTTTTGTAAATGTATGAAAGTTTAAAAGTTTACAGTACTTGAAAAGGCTAGACAGTCACCTTGTAACGAAGTGATGATATTGATACATCATGAAAACATATATGATGTGACATTTACACAACACTTTCATGTAATTCATTTGCTGTCTCACAGATACAGTTTTATGCGTACATGTCTCAAATATGCTATCGGAAGATCCTTTGAAACTGTCACATTGATTACTTTTTTTAAACTTACACCGCAATGTCTCTTCTTTGCGAGTGTGGATCAGGCGTCTGTTGACAGATCTACTGTCGGTGAAAGAAAAGGGAACTGGCTGTGGTAATTGCCAAACATATACACACAAATGACTGTTTCAGAGGTTTTCCCGTGCTCCAATCACTTGTTAAAATAATTATTATACCTGATGTATTTAATTATTGACCCTCTGCATTACTAGTTTCATGAATTGATTGCATGACATCCGTGGTTCCTTCCGCATTAGTTGATAAAAGTAAACATCAAACACAGATATCTTTCCCATTCACATACTAGTGCGGCATAGCCCATAATCCCCAACGTACTTTCATAGCAGAAGAATACTATCCGAAGGTATGGTGCTCTCAAACCAAGGGAAAATAATTGATCATCCATTCCATCCTGGTTCCTGGCAAGGGAAGCAATTCAGAATACATTCTAGATATTTGGAAGCATAATTCTTTTCAAGCATTTCATATTTGTAAAGTATTTTAATCCAGTTGTATTATGCGCAATTACCGATCTATGCCACTAAAATACGTCATGTTTAACATGAAGAAAATATATTTATCTATATTTCTTTATACGTTCGGACCAACAGTGTGTTGTTGCTAGAACGTACGGCGAAATGAATCTCTACTTCTGCATTTTCTGGATTATGTTATTAGTTAGAAACAAAAGGGTTCTGTTTTAATATTCGAAGTTGCCAGATATTATCGTATCATACTGGCAGTCACGTAGGGTAATAATTGCTATGTCATCCTTTATGTGAAACGGCAGTTTGCTGTTCATGTTATATATTTTAACATTGTTATATTTTTCGACAATCAACACTGACAGTTAATGTATACAATATTGACGGTCCAATAACAGGAAGGAACTTATGTCAACAAAACTAATTCTGTTATTGTATCCGTGATAGCGTGATCTGTTCAGGATATTTTTAGCTTAGGATTAAATAGTAAATCGGTGGATGAAACTGTGGTATTATAACCGCCTCATGTGAATAAACTTGAGGGAGTGCCACCATCACTAGAGAGTCAGCAGCAGGGAATATGGTGACAACTTGTGTCAGCATGGTATTGTGCACAACTGCACATTTACTCAAGTCTCGAACAGTCTCGCCTGACCTCGAATGCGCTTGAAAGAGCTCACGTGATCAACTGGGGTTTCCCCATTTCCTAAAACGAGGACTCAAAGCTTTTGTGTGCTTTCTTTCGTGTGGAGTTGACACGTGTATTTGTACAAGTAGAATGTTAAATGACTAATGTATATATGAAGAAATCAAGTGCGTCAATCATTGACATAACGTCAGCAGGTGATTCACACTGGCAAAGATACAAGTACAGCCACAGAACTATACAAAACAAGTTACGTTTTGCTTTCAATATGATGTACATATACTGTCATTTTTGGCTGAACCAGTTCTTGATAATTTTATAACAAACGATTTTATGTAACAAAAGAAGTGTTTTGTTTGTTTTAACATTGATATGTGTTCTTTTTCTGGTAACATGTTTTGTTGCGTGCCCAGTGGCACAAGTTTATCAAGTAACGTCAATTATTTACCGGTTCACTTGTATGGCCGGACTCATCCGGGTGAAGCTGGAACTACTGTGGTATTTCCACATGCGTTGTATAGGTAATTACTAACGCTAGTATAAATTAGTTTAGTACTGAAACTTGGGACAATGCTGTACAAGACACACATGAGTACCATGTGATGATATGATGATTGTAATGATGCCCCGTACTGCCGTGCATCTTCCGATGTCGCTAAACTCGGATGATTTGATGTTAAACTTTCACTCACTCACCAACTGAGGATGTCACCCCTTAAAGCTTTATTTCGTGTTCATATATATTCTTTTGTGACTGCACACACATACATCCACGGCTTTGGGATAGCTGTTGTTCTGTGGTCAGGTGACACCGTTCCATCTGTGGATCCACAACACCATATTCCATGATGGAAACAGTGTGACTGTAGTCTCCAGTCGGCGTTGTTAGGCCTGCCCTCTGACGCCTGTCCAAGTGTCAAGTTTCGACGGTGCTAGAATGTTATCGAAAAATAAAAGCATATGCTGGAAAAGAAAAGGATAGTATTCTTTTGACGAACAAGAATTGTCACCCTCAATAATATGTTGTTGCACGATACAGTTAAAGGAATAATAGTTAGGCTCATAAGTTTTGTTATGTATAAAATAAAATATCTCCAAATGCCGGGTTTTGTTATATTTGTTACAAAATTTTGATGTCCAGGGTATAATGAATGGCATTAACATCCCCTCGACTATTTGGCTGCTGCAGCCTGAGCATAAGCAATTTAGAACCCTGGGGCGCGGTGGGCGAGCTGGCTAAGGCGCCAGGCTAATGATCCAGCGAGGTTGAGGTGTCGGGATCAAGCCCACCTGTGACCGGGTGTAAAAACCTTGGAGTCAACTTTGTGTGCAGACTCTTTCAGTGTTGTCACAACCCCTATATAGTGTACATTACACAACCCTGTGCACTTAAAAGAACCCATGAATCCGTTGGTATTTGACCAGATAGTGGCCACATGAATATGTGCAAACACGTAGTTGCGGGTACAGCAACGTGCAGTGAACATGGACAAAATAATGTGACTATGTGTCCCAGTCCACCCAGCTGTGAATGGGTACCTCGTTAGGATGAGAAAGCCACAGTAACTCGGTGCGCCTAGTGGCTGCAAGAGTTGTATACTCCCCAGGGAGTTGAGATTGATAATGCGATGTGCCGTTGAGATTGACATCCAATGATCGAAGGAAAAAATACCAGCGCCTTGAGCATGCACTGGTGCGTGGATATGTGCGCTACATAAATATCCTATAATAATAATAATAATCATATTTTGATCTGTACCTCTGTATATATATCGTGACAATGTTCATCTTGGATTGTTTATGTTTCATGTAAATGGTAAACTTTGTAGTTATACCTCTTAATTTTCATTCGATTGTATTTCAGACTCGTCCGAAAAATATGAACAAGGACTGCAAATTCGAGAGGCCTCCCGGTCGAGAAGCAAACACGAATCTTGATTTGGACTTTGGTAACCTCAGTCTGAATGACACGTGTGAATCTGGGGTAGAGGTGGGGGTTAGCACATGTGTCCGACCTGACAGTGTCACTACAATCACCTGCCCCGGGTATGTTTCTACAGACGAAGGATATGCAAGCAAGTCAATATCTTTCACAGACAGAATGCCCGTTCAGGAGACCGACAACAACACACTTGTGACATCCATGAGATCAGTTGATATCTTTCAGGTGTATCATCAAGATAAAGATGGCGACACGGATCTTCATACTGGAATCATTCAAGGACATTCATCTCTGGTGTTGTTATTTATATCGGCGGCGCCCAACAGTGAGTGGTTGAACATTACAAACATGCTTCAACAGACGCCCCTTCACTTGGCTGTTATTACTTGTCAGGTGAATATCGTCCGGCGACTAATGACGGCCGGAGCAAGAGTTGATGTTACCGATATCCATGGCAACACACCACTTCACATTGCATGTCGCGAGGGCTACCAGGAGATCGTGGAGTGTCTTCTTCGACCTGTGTATTATGAGGAGACACTTCTGAACCAGCATGAAATTCCGTACCAAAGGATACCCCAGGACTTGGAGAAAAGGAACTTTGATGGACATACATGTCTTCACCTGGCCGCCATGTCGACACATCTCAAAGTTCTTGAGCTTCTCCTGTCAAAGAAAGCTAACATCAATGTCCGTGACGCCACCAGCGGCAGGACAGTTCTCCATTACGCTTCTGAAACGGGAAACAGAATTCTTCTTCACTTCCTGTTGTCACAGCGTCATCTTGACATTTGTTGCCGAACATACGGGGGTCAGACTCCTCTCCGTCTCGCAGCAGGGAGGGGTTATGGGGATGTCGTTTCCATCCTCCTCGCCAACGGTGCAGACGTCACAGACATAGACGGTTCCAATCAGTCGGACGATGAAATGTTTGATGATTTTTGTATTAATGGACACATAGTCGCTGTGTAACAACCGTGAAGACGGAATGTACTGTCAGATAGATATTGTGTATATCTACCTCAACTTACTGTGACTCAGACCAAGCTACACACTGTGGTTCTTTTGTTTTCTTGTTGGAAGCGAGATGATTCTCCCGTGCGCTTGCGTCCATGGGTTAGTGTCCCGTTTAACAATCCCGTTTCAACAATCACGCAAACTATATAACTGGTCCATTTATATCACGGAATTCCTCGTCTCAGAAGGCAACGTGCAAGAACAACGTCTAATGGTGGCTGGTATGAACATCAGTTGTATGATATTGCTAGCGTTATAGTTTTGAGTGATCTGTTATGTTATTGTAATGACTATGGTATTTGTTGTTGTCCAAACAAGATTTACTTTTGCTTTTAATGATCTCATACATTCGTAGATTTAGTAGGTGAGGCCATCACGAAGGTTGTAGAGCTATTAACGCACTCTAAATGTTAAAGGATATGCATGCCTGTATATAATCGGTGAGCAAGGCATATTTCCCATTTGTACTTTTATGGTTATATGGCTAATCACGAATTTTGTCAAACTCAGCCTGTTTTCCAGATATATAGGTGACTGAATTTTCACGTTCAATGTTGTGAAATCTATTTTCGTAAGAAGATCATAGCAGTGAACTACCATTATATCTACAGTCAGTATTTCCTTGACACTTGTTCGGGAACTACATATGAGAACGCATTCTGTGTGTCTAGGCCTACTCAAGTACTGAAGGCCTGTGATCTCCAAATAGTTCTCAATAACCGTGCTTCCTCCTTCTCTATTATGCCTGCAGAAAACAGCCACGTCTTTGATAGCCAACGCATCAAATTGTTGATTCCATCACGTGTCAGATCAGTATTCATTCATACAATAATATACACCGGGACGAAGCTAATTCCAGTAGATCAGCAGCTGAGAGTGAATATATGTTACACGACCACGGGATATACATGGTGCACGTCCGACGGACGGTTAGAGAGCCGATTGGAACCACTGAACAGCATATTATCGGACTACCTGTCAACGTCTCTATTTGTAGTGAATGGTGTCGTCCAGTGACATTCGTTGTCGGAGGTTGGTACATCAATTCACAGTTCGAACGTTCCAACCAGGGCAAACATTTCATCTGCAGAGTTTGTGATGTAATCAATTGTCGTGCATCCAAATTGACAATATTACGCTCATCATGCATGTAACACCTTAAAGTAGCGAGTGGTATAACCTCTCGTGTTTGTAACACCTCAATATGATCATGAGTAAAACGTGAATATGAGTAAAACGCGAATATGAGTAAACGTGAATATGAGTAAAACGTGAATATGAGTAAAACGCGAATATGAGTAAAACGCGAATATGAGTAAACGCGAATATGAGTAAAACGTGAATATGAGTAAAACGCGAATATGAGTAAAACGTGAATATGAGTAAACGCGAATATGAGTAAAACGTGAATATGGGTAAAACGTGAATATGAGTAAATGCGAATATGAGTAAAACGCGAATATGAGTAAAACGCGAATATGAGTAAACGTGAATATGAGTAAAACGTGAATATGAGTAAAACGCGAATATGAGTAAAACGCGAATATGAGTAAACGCGAATATGAGTAAAACGTGAATATGAGTAAAACGCGAATATGAGTAAAACGTGAATATGAGTAAACGCGAATATGAGTAAAACGTGAATATGAGTAAAACGTGAATATGAGTAAATGCGAATATGAGTAAAACGCGAATATGAGTAAAACGCGAATATGAGTAAAACGTGAATATGAGTGAGCCGTAAATATGAGTAAACTGCAGCCTGCCTTGCATGTAACATCTCAGTATGACCACTGGTGACTTGCATCATGCCCTATACAACCAGACGCGTTTCGTGACATGTCTTCCTGAACAGCATGATATTTCTTGGCATTGTCAAGAAGAAATAAAAACAAAATTGGTTTTGGTAAACATATTTGTAGCCGATCAACATGCGGTAATGTTACAAGGATCTCATTAATATAAATAATTAGCTGGTACTGTCCACAAATGTTGCTATTGTACAATTGTTTAACTGGTAATGTCAAATTATTACAAAGCGCAAGAAATATATCCAGACCGCAAACCAGTAGGCCTACTGGAAGGGTGGGTGGGCATCAAACAGGCGTGCGAGCCCATTGCATGCACGAGTACTACTGTGCCGTCTAACAAAACAAAGGAGATAACTCTCGTCTCCTGTCAAACAGTTTGATCACTATAAAATATTACTTTGAGACCAAGATATCGACAATGCCTGAATTTTTCATTCACATGCCTATAATCCCTAATATACTTTTGTTACAAGTGAAGCGTAGTTTTCGTGCAGGTGTCGCGGAGGTGTCGCGCAGGTGTCGCGCTGTCAAACCAAGAGACATAATGAGGACGAATCTTTTAATTTGCAACAAGGATAATAGGATCCTGGATCCTAGGTAGCCCAGATGACACAACTCTGACTACAATGGTTCACGTATAGAAAATATACCGTTTCATATTTCACTTGTACCTTCACCCCGCATCAAAAGGTTTTGTTTGCAGAACCTATGTCATTTATCGCTTTTCTTCAAATCTAAAATATATCTCGTGTTCCTCATTTCAGTAATTAACCATTTATTATATATTATAACTCTGCTGTATTATATATACAAACGTCTTCGTGATTTCAACTGATGCTTCTGAGCCGAAAGAAATATCTATGAATGTCAGCTATGATGAAACTCACAGTGTCTGTTGTCAAATCCTACTGAGCTGACGCCACACAGACATTCTCACAGCATTGTTGGAGCGTCAACGTTCTGTTATGGTCTCTGTTAAGTATCTGTTATGGTCTCTGTTAAGTATCTGTTATGATCTCTGTTAAGCATCTGTTATGGTCACCATTGACCTGTATCACAGTTCTGCCACGCCTGCCCGCTGACTGAATGTGTGGCTCAAGTCGATCCCAGGGTATTTGTGCCCATACATTCAGCAATTCCAGACGAAGTTAAGAGTGAGTGGGTGAGTGAGTTGGGTTTTACTCCTGTTTTAGCAATAGTCCAGCAATATCACGGCGGGGGACGCCGGAAATGGGCTTCACACATTGTGCCCATGTGGGGAATCGAACCCAGGTGTGACGAGCGACCGCTTTAACCACTACGCTACCCCACCGCCCCACACAGTTAAGAAAGTGTATGAAGCGGTGGTTGACATTCCATAGCTATTCACATGTGTTTAAATAGGGCAACCTTGACGGCCACGGATTTCCAGTAGTGTCCTAATTCTGCAGGATGTCCATAGCAAGACGTGCAACAATAGGTTGACATGCTGAAAAGTCCCCCGTATAGGTTAGAAAACCGGAAGCAGGTGACGTTGGGGAGTTTCATGTTGGTACTGAATTTCAGTCATATAGGTTTACACTAAACGCAAAAAAGAAACGTTTAATACCCTCCTAACTTTATGAATTATTTAAAAACTACCATAGATATGTTAGAACAAGAAGGCTTAACAACACAGCTTTATGGAAATCACGGAAACAGATTCTCAAATGCACTGATATTTAGGTGAAATGCAGCTTTTTCAGAAGAGTTAAATTGTCCTATTAAACCATGCCGAAATAACCCAATAACACTGATTTGGATGTCCAAAAGAAAGGTTGAAATAAAATTCTTCGTTGAAACATAGATAAAACATTTAAAGTCACCATTTTTCAACTATTAAAACAAGAAACAACTGTTGTAGAGTGTGTAAAATTGTAAAGGAATCATTCCTGTGATTTCAGTCTTTTAACACATTTTCTGCTGATTTGCATTAGTGAAAATAAGTAAAACGTGTCTTTGATATTCTGAAAGGGTGTTCAGGAACATCACAAATGATCTTTGTTAATATGTTTGCTTGCAAAGTAACATTTTTCCATTTTCTGTTTACACATAGCAATATCAATCGCTAAAACGTAGCAATATTCAAGCAGTGTTTGCATCAATTTCACCTATAAAATGACTCTATAGAGTATAAAGAGAGACTAGAATGCATGATATGATACACAAGTACGAGAAATATGCCACTATTAACAGCTGAAGAGAGAGAAAGAGCCACTGGGATGGTGCAGATGGGGTCGACATACAATGCTGTTGCCAACGTCATTAAGGAAGGAGGGTAACATTTGTTATGGCGTTTAGTGCAGGGGCGGATACAGGATTTCCGTTGGGGAGGGGAGGGTGCACCCCAATCCTCGGAACCCTGGGCATAAAACATGTAGTACATTTGGAACACTCTTGGGGGTGGGGGGGACGCACCCCTGCACCCCCCCTCTGGATCCGCGCATGTAGTGTATATTGTAACTGCCACTTCCGACTCTATAAATTACGAGATAATAATTGTGTTTTAGCAAAATATTCATTTCTACCACTGAAGATATTGGTTCGCCAATCTCCACGCTGAACTGAACACAATCGGGCACACAACCTTCGGTACTGTCGCTGTCGAATAGCATTAAAATAGGGTCTGAAGGCTAAAAGCCCACGAATACGATTGCATATTGATTGTACCGACACCCTACGCAGACCAGGCACATTGTTAATGGTAATGGCTGGAACGACAGTACATGACGTCCCGATGACGTAGATGGAAGACCCGGGTGTATAGGTCCTGATGAGCCACAGTGGTGATCATTGGTTGGTGGGGGCGGTGGGGTAGACTAGTGATTAAAGCGTTCGCTCCTCACGCCGAAGACCCGGGTTCGATTCCCCACATGGGTACAAAGTGTGAAACCTATTCCTGGTGTCCCCCGCCGTGATATTGCTGGAATATTGCTAACAGCGGCGTAAAACCAAACTCACTCACTCACTCTTTGGTTGGTGAGGCCTATTGTAGACCCATGCAGTTTACTTCTGCCCCAAAGACGTAAAACTGTGTTGTGGTGGACGATCAAGTGACAGGCAGCGGACGGTATGTCCGATTCCGTTAGTTCGATTTGTTGTGAGTGAGTTGGTTTACGCCACACTCAACAATATTCCAGCTATTCTATTCTATTCTATTCTATATATGGCGGTGGTCTGTAAATAATCGAGTCTGAACAATACAGTGATCAAATATTACGATTTGTAGGTTCCAGTATTGGAACACTGAAATTTACTCTCTCTTCAAAAATAGGAACTAGTTTACAGAAATAATACCACCCTTTTATACACAGCACCTCTATCGCCCATTTCCTTGAAAACCATGAGCAAATGGTATGCAGATTGTATTCAAGACATGCTTTTTTCTGACAATTTCGAAGGGAAAAAACCTTTTAAAAGTCATTACATTACCAAACAGTGCATTTGGGAAATGCATTCCAAATAGAAACGACTGTAAAGTAGCATTTGTGAAATATGCAGAATTATATTTACAAAAATCACACGTGTGTTTAATTTTGGGAGAACACATAAAGAAATAAATCGCCGATATTCAATTTTTTTATACATAAGAGTTATTTTGTTGTATTATGGATTATCGTGTGATATCAATAAAAAAGATGTCGTAACGTCATATTAGTAAGTATAATCTGATTTACATTAGATAGTAAACCGACAGTCAAACAGCTGTCTGTCAGCAAGTGTCACCGCAAAAGTTTGCATCTCTGCACAAACGTCCACAATTCTGCCACACTCCGCCAGTTCCATCACTGCGCCGGAGTGGGAGTCACGCCTCTCCTTGAATGTGCTGGAAAGAGGTCACGTGACCAACTGGGGTTTCCCCATGTCACAACTTGGACTCTAAAACGTCTGTATAATTTCTATCACGTGGCTAATGACTCTTTTGCACATGTTCAAATTCTAAATTGAATGATTGATAATGGGGAATGTACGGATGAACAGTGGTTTCCTATTTCATAACGATATGAAAGCCGACGGGGTGGACTATAAATAGACCGAAGAACACAGTGTATATATAAGCATACGATTATAAGAGTAGCCATTGACAGAAGTGATTAACATGGCTAAAAACGAACAAGCAGACAACGGACAACCTGATACAACTCAAGTAGGTTTCTTTACTGTTTCCATATACCATGTATATTTTATAAGTATTGTGTTTTGACCATGACATGTTTCTACTTTCGGATATGTTTTGTCACGTATTCAGTGGTACGTGTTTATTGACATTCATTTTACTTGTTTACTTGTTTACTTGTCTGGGCTAGATTGAAACGGCTGAAACTGGATCTCATATGGTTATTCCACATATAATGTATAAATTACCTCTATCGCGTGGATACATTAGTCACTACTAAAACGTGGGACAATGCTGCACCAGACACGTGTGAGTACTCTGTGATGTTATGATGCAATGGTGTTCGGTAGTGATGTACACATCAACTGATGTCACCGAGATAATGCTGATGTAGGATTAAATGTTAACCCACTCACCTGTTGATGGTATTTATATGTGTGGGTGCATATACATGTATGTATTTCTATTTTACATTTCTTTTAACTACATACAGTGAAGTTTTGTAAATGTTATTTTGATCTTACTGTATTTTGTTTTTTTCAGGCTCTTTCGCAGAATATGAACACGAGAAGGAAAATATGTACATTTTCCAATGCAGGCGAAAACACTGATATTGATGTTGATGTTGACTACAAGTTAGAGAGGCCCCCCGGTCGAAATATAAACATGGATCTTGATGTGGACTTCGGTAGCCTCAGTCTTAAAGAGAATGAAATGGAGACTTGTGAATCTGGGGTAGAGGCGGGAAAACCGATCAACACATGTGTCCCACTTGACAGTGTCACTACAAACACCTGCCCCGGGTATGTTTCTACAGATGAAGGATATGAAAGCAAGTCAATATCTTTCACAGACAGAATGCCCGTTCAGGAGACCGACAACAACACACTTGTGACATCCGTGAGATCGGTTGATGTCGTTCAGGTGTATCATCAAGATAAAGATGGCGACACGGATCTTCATACTGGAATCATTCAAGGACATATATCTCTTGTGTTGTTGTTTATATCAGCGGCGCCCAACAGTGAGTGGTTGAACATTACAAACATGCTTCAACAGACGCCCCTTCACTTGGCTGTTATTACTCGTCAGGTGAATATCGTCCGGCGACTGATGACGGCCGGAGCAAGAGTTGATGTTACCGATATCCATGGCAACACACCACTTCACATTGCATGTCGCGAGGGCTACCAGGAGATCGTGGAGTGTCTTCTTCGACCTGTGTATTATGAGGAGACACTTCTGAACCAGCATGAAATTCCGTTCCAAAGGATACCCCAGGACTTGGAGAAAAGGAACTTTGATGGACATACATGTCTTCACCTGGCCGCCATGTCGACACATCTCAAAGTTCTTGAGCTTCTTTGTCAAAGAAAGCTAACATCAATGTCCGTGACGGCACCAGCGGCAGGACAGTTCTCCATTACGCTTCTGAAACGGGAAACAGAATTCTTCTTCACTTCCTGTTATCACAGCGTCATCTTGACATTTGTTGCCGAACGTACGGGGGTCAGACTCCTCTTCGTCTTGCAGCAGGGAGGGGTTATGGGGATGTCGTTTCCATCCTCCTCGCCAACGGTGCAGATGTCACAGACATAGACGGTTCCGATCAGTCGGACGAAGAGGTGTTTGATGATTTTTGTATCAATGGACACATAGTTGTTTTGTAATAATAGGACCGAATGGATAGATGTGTAACACTAACATATGAAAACATATGTTCAGAGATTCTGTTTTTATATCTTAATCTAGTCAACAAGGTGAAAAGATTCCATTCCTAAAAGGCCTATTCCTGACAAGGTGTATGGAGATATTTGATGCCGGTCAATTGCCTGATCGATCAGTGTTTCATGTTAACCAAAGTGCCAAAGAACAATGTATAACCCTTTTATCTGTCAGACTCACAAATTGTATAATGTTTTATATTTTGAATCGTTTGAAGTAATTCAATAAACGTTTACAGTTTTCTAAGGATTAGTTATCTGTTATTCTTGTCGGCCCCAGGCATCTTCTTGAAGATGTGAGTTCACCGACTGTCTAAGCCACACTTACACAAACATAAATTCTAAGTATAATCTCAGAGCTGACTGAGCATTCACTCAGTTGATTTGTCATCCTCTATTCAGTTCCCTGTTGTTTTGTAACTGTTTGTATCACGCCTTGTCCTATCGGCTGATATAGCACAGCTTTCATCCTTAATACGCTACCTTGTGCCTTAAAACGGTATTTTGTGCTATAAACCGGTATCTTGTGCTAAAAACCGTATCTTATGCTATAAAACTGTATCTTATGCTATAAAAACTGTATCTTATGCTATAAAACGGTATCTGATGCTTTAAAACTGTATCTTATGCTATAAAACGGTATCTTACGCTATAAAACGGTATCATAGGCTAATAAAGGAACAGTGCTTTCATTCTCCTGGATTTCCCATTACAAAACGCCTGTCTCTGGCTACATGAACATATCCACAACTAAAGCAACATTAAACCTTCAATGTAGATTAGTTGTTTAACAAATCCTGAACATGCTTGTGACAAGAACAAACGCAATATTAACTTGTACATGTTCACCACGAAAACAGGTGACAACAAGTCAACTGAGCAATCTTTTGTTTTGTTTGCTTGTTGTTTAACACCACACTCAGCAATATTCCAGCTATTATGACGACGGTGTTTAATAAGCGAGTCTCAACCAGACAATCCAGTGATCAACATCATGAACATCGATCTACACAAATGGGATATGATGACATGTGTCAACCAAGTTACCGAGCCTGATCACCAGATCCCGTTAATCGCCTTTTGTGACAGATATGGTTCCGAAGACTAAACCGGATCTTCACGAGCATCAACTCAGCCATCGATCATCTAGTGACACTAATATAGCATGACTGAGGAATCAAGGTTAGCATGAGACTGTGGGCCCCTCCAGAACTACTTTCTCCATTTATCACATTTAAATTATCATGCTGCCGTCCTGCTGTACATGTCACATGATGCAGTCTATACTGAGCTAGGAATTCAGTGACCATTCGATTTGACAAGTAAAACTGGCACAACTTATGTTATTGTGCAGTAATAGAGATATTATATATCAACCAATTGGGTTCAAGTCCGAGAAATTACTCGAATTGGGTGATCGATCGAAATTTGTGATTTAATCTGGAGCATTTTATTACGTATTGTTAGCTGATGCTACTTTTCACAGCACATAATGTTAGGTAATGATCACCAAAACCTGTAAATTGTATGCTTCTTGTGAGGATTCAAAAGATTCATGTGACAGTTGGGAATTAATTGGAGTTTAATGGATTTTACGACACTTCGTGAGATTGGAAAAAAATGTTCCTGACTTTTTTTTTTCATAAATCATTCATATACGTTATTTCATCAGAAACACTCATTATCATTTCAGAAAATTCACATTGCCTTGAATTCCCAATGCTCCATATGCCCAATGCTGAATTTTCAATGCTGGTAATTTTAGTTACTTAGTAAGCATTGCATGGGGAATCGTTGACGAAGATCCAAAATAGGCATACTATTTATAAGTCTCACATCAGCCGGTCCGTACTAAGTTCTCTGACAAGTACGATTTTGATGACTGTCACAAGTATCCCTTTCAGTGGTATACGTGTGTTATTGCAATCATATCGTTCATCATGCGAGTCACACGTTAAACAGAGTTATCTTTCTTGAAAAACCAATCAAACGCTACACATGTGGTCCTGTCCAAGGTATACAGTTCATATGTCTGATTTATATTAGGTAGTAAAACGACAGTCAAACAACTGTCTGTAAGCAAGGTTCACCACAAAACTTTGCATCTCTGCACCAGCCTCTACTGTTCTGCCATAGTCAGGTCTCACCTCGAATGCGCTCGAAGGAGGTCACGTGACCAACCAGGGTTTTCCCCACATGTCTTGTTTACATGTTTATGGTCTTGTCTGGGCTGGAATAAAACGGCTGAAACTGGATCTAATACATATAATGTATAAATTACCTCTCTCGCGTGGATACATTAGTCACTACTAAAACGTGGGACAATGCTGTACAAGACACGTGTGAGTACTCTGTGATGTTATGATGCAATGCTGTTCGGTAGTGATGTACACATCAACTGATGTCACCGAGATAATGCTGATGTAGGATTAAATGTTAACCCACTCACCTGTTGATGGTATTTATATGTGTGGGTGCATATACATGTATGTATTTCTATTTTACATTTCTTTTAACTACATACAGTCAAGTTTTGTAAATGTTATTTTGATCTTACTGTATTTTGTTTTTTTCAGGCTCTTTCGCAGAATATGAACACGAGAAGGAAAATATGTACATTTTCCAATGCAGGCGAAAACACTGATATTGATGTTGATGTTGACTACAAGTTAGAGAGGCCCCCCGGTCGAAATGTAAACATGGATCTTGATGTGGACTTCGGTAGCCTCAGTCTTAAAGAGAATGAAATGGAGACTTGTGAATCTGGGGTAGAGGCGGGAAAACCGATCAACACATGTGTCCGACTTGACAGTGTCACTACAAACACCTGCCCCAGGTATGTTTCTACAGATGAAGGATATGAAAGCAAGTCAATATCTTTCACAGACAGAATGCCCGTTCAGGAGACCGACAACAACACACTTGTGACATCCATGAGATCGGTTGATGTCTTTCAGGTGTATCATCAAGATAAAGATGGCGACACGGATCTTCATACTGGAATCATTCAAGGACATATATCTCTTGTGTTGTTGTTTATATCAGCGGCGCCCAACAGTGAGTGGTTGAACATTACAAACATGCTTCAACAGACGCCCCTTCACTTGGCTGTTATTACTCGTCAGTTGAATATCGTCCGGCGACTGATGACGGCCGGAGCAAGAGTTGATGTTACCGACATCCATGGCAACACACCACTTCACATTGCATGTCGCGAGGGCTACCAGGAGATCGTGGAGTGTCTTCTTCGACCTGTGTATTATGAGGAGACACTTCTGAACCAGCATGAAATTCCGTACCAAAGGATACCCCAGGACTTGGAGAAAAGGAACTTTGATGGACATACATGTCTTCACCTGGCCGCCATGTCGACACATCTCAAAGTTCTTGAGCTTCTCCTGTCAAAGAAAGCTAACATCAATGTCCGTGACGGCACCAGCGGCAGGACAGTTCTCCATTACGCTTCTGAAACGGGAAACAGAATTCTTCTTCACTTCCTGTTATCACAGCGCCATCTTGACATTTGTTGCCGAACGTACGGGGGTCAGACTCCTCTCCGTCTTGCAGCAGGGAGGGGTTATGGGGATGTCGTTTCCATCCTCCTCGCCAACGGTGCAGACGTCACAGAGATAGACGGTTCCGATCAGTCGGACGATGAAATATTTGATGACTTTTGTATCAATGGACACATAATTGTTTTGTGAAAATAGGACCGAATGGATAGATGTGTAACACTAACATATGAAAACATGTGTTCAGAGATTCTGTTTTTAATCTTAATCTAGTCAACAAGGTGAAAAGATTCCTTTCCTAAAAGGCCTATTAGGTGATATTTGATACCGGTCCATTACCTGATCGATCAGTGTTTCATGTTAACCAAAGTGCCAACGAACAATGTATAACCCTTTTATCTGTATATGCTGATGGTACTGTTTTGGCATTGACTTCTATGTTTTTGTTTTCAGTCTATAGTTGTTTATCATATATTATGTCTCGTAGTTTCTGTTGACGGTTCTGTCAGTCTGCCCGAGTCCACGTCCGAGTAACGCTGGCGTTAGTCACAGTGGTTGGACACGCCTAGTTACAAGTGTACAGTGTTGTTGTTTTTCTTCTTCTTCTTATTTTTGTTGCTGTCTAAACAAGACTTACCACTGCTTGTAATTCTATATGCAATATTACGTTCGTTACACTAATCATTTCTCAGTAGGGGCGGTCGGGTAGACTAGTTGTTGAAGCGTTCGCTCTTCACGCCGAAGACCAGGGTTCGATTCCCCACATGGGTACAATGTGTGAAGCCCATTTCTGGTGTCCCCCGCCGTGATATTGTTGGAATATTGCTAAAAGCGGCGTAAAATTTTCACTCATTTTCAGTATGCATGTACACAATGGACGTCATTTAATGGAAGCCATTCGTTTGATATTCAATGTATCTTGGCTTGCCCACGTGGTTGTAATCATGATGTATTAGTCCTAGTAGCCTGCCGATGTACATGTATATGCAAGTTCGTACAATTATGTCAGACTCACAAATTTTATATTATTTATTTTGAATTGTTTGATGTAATTCAATAAACGTTTACAGTTTTCTAAGGATTAGTTATTTGTTTTTCTTGTCGGCCCCAGGCATCTTCTTGAAGATGTGAGTTCACTGACTGTCAAAGCCACACTTACACATGCATAAATTCTAAGTATAATCTCAGAGCTGACTGAGCATTCATACAGGCGAAGTGTCATCCTCCATTCGGTTCGATATTGTTTTGAAACTGTTTGTATCAAGACTGGTTCCTTCGGCTGTTATTGGACAGCTTTCATCCTTTATAATTGGGCTAACGGAAGAGTGATTTAACCCTCATGAATTTCATATGGCAAAACGTCATGCATGGATGAACATATCTCCTAGCAAATACCGTCTCACAACAGGTACTTAAGTTTAAAACTATATGTAACATTACATCTCCAATACTGACTTAGCCATCTTGTTTGGTTTGATTGTTGTTTAACGCCGCACTCAACAACATTCCAGCTAAATGTCGGCGGTCTGTAAATCATCGGGTGTGGACCAGACAATCCAGAGATCAACAGCATGAGCATCAATCTACGCAGTTGGGATGCTATGATATGCGGCAACCAAGTCAGTGTGTCTGACCATCCCGTTAATCGCCTCTTACGACACAC